CGTTCGCCTGCATATTCCTGCGTACATCTACCAAAACAACCTCAGAGCAGGTAAACCCATCGGACATAAATCCCGCCGCCTCCTGGATGTTTGGTCTTCCTTCACTCCTCATCCATCACAGACATGAAACTCATTCTCTTTTCATGAGGTGGACTTTGCTCTGCTTCTAACACAAAGTAATGGAGGTCACCTCAGCAAGCTGCTCCACACTCATTTCCTCGCTGCTAACAGCTTCTGCCCAACAGCCTGACAGAATACCAAATGGCTCTCCAAAAATGTCACTCCCCAGCTTTAATACTGACCACTCCACACCAAAAGGTAGGCCTGACATTTCCCCACAACAGAAGCTAGCCCTGTTTTGAACCAGTGCCTTTGACTTGTCGTCATAATGCAACATTGAGCTGAAGATTTGCGAATGTCAGATGCTTTAAAGGACTCGTATGGACATTCTTGAAGGTCTGGGAATCCGTGAAAGGATGCAGGCCGGGATGATGTTCCTGTTGTCATATACACAGGTTTATTTCAACGGGGGTGTCATTAGTTCTGCAGGTATTTGGTGAACCGATAATAATTTTTGACTTGTTGATGGCACTAAATAAAAAGTTTATTCATCCCAAATTGGACATAAATGTCTATTAAATCCCATCTAACAAATGTGAACCTTGTGTTGGTGCTACTTAAAAAGTCAGAGGATCACAAGTTGTGTTTCTGTAATGTATTCTTAACACACATTTTTTTTGCAATTAACGGGGAAAAAACTATGGAGCCCGTCTGTTGACATCGATAAGAAATAAAAATAACTCGTTCCCACACATTCGTAAATCGTGGCCACGAGTTATTAATGCGTGGGAACAACATAATTATCACATGGTGTTTCATCGCAAGAGATCGCAGGATATCGGCGTAATTCATTCCAAGGTTAAAATCAAATCAAATCAAATCAAAATGCTCCATGTTTCATGCAAGTACGCCCGTTATCCTTAATCGACAGCTGGTACGACTGCTCTGTGAAATTTGCTCCACAACTTCTCTTGTTTCTTTATATTAGTAATGTGAGGCCACAATTTAACTGTCGTTCCCACGCATTAATAACTCGTGGCCACGATTTACTAATGCGTGGGAACAAATTTATTTTTTTTCTTATCGATGTCACCAGACAGGCTCCGTAAAAAACAACCCAGATTTCACAAAAAAAAGTTTTTACAGTTGCTTGAGTTGTTTTTGAGTTCTTCAAAGACGAGTTAATACACATGAAGGGCAATGATAACACCTTTTTCAAATTGGTTCTAACATAGCAAAAATTTAACTCACATGACTGATTTGGACATCGTGAAACATGGCCGACACTAGCAGACATGAAAAATAAATACAACTTTCCCCAATTAAATACAATTAAAGCAGATTTCTCTTCATTTTTCTGCCATAGATGGTCAAAGTTTTGTTGGTTTGCTTCTTCTTCTTCAGGGTTTACTGTGTTTCATACAGCCGTGTGTAATGTAGCCTACACTGCCACCTTCTGGTGACACGACGCAGCCTCGTTTATTTAAAGCAGTTTATGGAAACAAGACACATTTTGTTTTTGCAAGATTTCAAAAGTTTGCTTCATATTTGCGAGATAGTTATATGAAAATAAGGCTACAGTCACAATATGGTGCACTGGGACTCAAGAAGGTACAAACTGCTGTGCCAGTCCGTCTACCAGAGGGATCTCCAACTCTGGTCCTCATGAGCTACTGTCCTGCAGGTTTTAGATGTTTCCATACCTGAATCAAATTAATGGATCATTAACAGACTTGTGTAGAACCTGACAACAAGCTGTTGGAGATCCTTTGAGTTTGAGGTGTGTTGCAGTAGGAAAACATCTGAAACCTGCAGGACAGTAGCTCACAAGGACCAGAGTTGGAGATCCCTGGTCAAGCAGATGATGAGAAACTTTGCTGGATAAGTGGAACCAACTGGTGGCGCTTGATATAAACTCGGCCCATTACCAAAGTCATTAGGATTCACTGTCTTGTGACCAACACATAGGTGTGTTGTTGAAATAATCCAGTAAAGTTTTGGGCTGGCCCTCACCGACATCCTCCACAGCCTCGGTGACAGACATGGAAAAGGTAAACTCAGGTGAGCAAAGCAAACAATGGCACATTGTTGCCCATCACTGACCACATGTCTCTCTCATTATCTGCTCATTCTGGACCATCAAACTTTTTATTTGCAGGCCGCTGCTTGCTGGTGCTGCCACAATGAAAAAGAGGCTTAGTGGGCATTAAAGAAGAAAACTGAAATGACAAAAAAAAAAAAAGACAAAGAGAGGCTTCAGTCAGTATAGAAAAGAAAAGGATTGTGACAGTAAGCCAGCAGGAAATTGCGAGCGTTCGACAAAGAAAGAGGTGAAAGAAAGAAATTCGTCAAGAAAGATATGAGCAAATGGAAGAACAAGAAAAAAACAGTGACAGACAGAAAAGCAGCGCAAAATGGTGAACACTGACAAGGTTTCCTTAAAGCCCTTAAAACGTGTAGCTCTGGGGAGCGGTGCAGGCGGCGATAAGGACTCTCTGAGCCCGGATCAGGATTTTAGCCATGCAGGAGCAGGCGGCGTCCTCATCAGTCTCTCTCCACTTCCATTCCCATAATGTTCACTAACGTTTTCCTCTTTGTCACTGCGTCTGGTCCCACAGCTGTCAATACCTCCCCGAGACCGATCCATACTACTTAACTTCAAGTACTGACCATTTTTCTGGTGGGTTTTGCCAGTTATTTGTG